ATGGAAGAGGAGGAAGAGGAGGAGGAGGAGGAGGAGGAGGAAGTGGAGGAGGAGAAGGAGGAGGAGAAGGAAGCCCTGTTGAGCCCTGATTTGGCTTTGGCGATCGGCACCCAGGCTGCCTGGCTTGTTCTGAAAGATAAACAGGGACACTGATTCTGCCACCCTCTTTGGCAGTGTAAACTCCTCCGCAAACCTGACGATTTTTGGGCTGTTGTTGTTGTCTAAATATCCATGAACCTGACAAAGCCTCACTGGGCTAGTAGCAGCTCTGCCCTAAGAGCATGAGGCCCTCGGCCTCAGTTAGTCACTGTGGTTCCCACACCCCCTGTTCCCACCACCCCCTGTTGCGATGGAACTTTCTATAGGGTTAGTGGCTCAGCGGGAGACATCTATGATATGGAGGGCTGTTGATTATCTCTTTTTTTGTTTGTTTTGTGCCTTTCCTAGGGCTGGAACTCAGGGTCTGGATGCTGTCTTGTGCATTTTTGCAAGGCGGGCACCACTTGAGACACTACTTCTGGATTGTTTTTGTGATTAATTGGGTTTAAGAGTGTCACAGACTTTCCTGTCTGGCTGTTTGTACCGACATCCTCAGATCTCAGCGCCCCCTCTCCCCCCCCCCCCGCCCCACATAAGGTTACAGACATGAGCCATTGGCACCTGGATGCTTATCACCTTTAAAAACAGTGTGGAAACCTTTGGATGTTGGCCAAGCACATTTTATATGGCTCAACCCTTCTGAAGAATTTCTGACCTGATTTCTGTGTTGTGAGGTCTGGGCAGGGAAGGTGGCTTTCAGGGAGGCCCTAACGCCCACCTGTCTCTTGTAGAGGTCTTCCTGAATCCATGTGTGTGCTGTGGCACCTCCCTAGTGGACACAGAAGGTGGGTAAGGCACAAACCCCTGCTCCCAGGATGGCCTCTGAGCTGGGTGTGGGTGGCAGGGTCTGTGAGGGGGAGGCAGGTGCCCTGAGCCCAGACAACACATCTGCCCTGTACCACCAGAGGGAGCCAGGCAGGGTCCCCAAGGCAAGGATGGTGGGTTGGGGAGCCCAGGAGCAGGGACAAGGTCTGCAGGACAGGTCTGTCCTGAATGCATGGCAGTAGAAAAAGCCAGGTCCTCATTACACCCCATCTGTCCAGACGGTGTGCAGTTTAAAAAAAAATAGATGAAAGTCGGATTAGGAAACAAATACTTGCCCTTGCCCAATCTCTCCATACAAAATCAAGAAGCCGATGAGCTATGATCAGAAGTGGTGTGGTGTCCTCCTGAGGGCTAGAAGAGAGAGCTGCCCTCACTCAGAGGCGGGGCCCATTTGTTGCCATCTGGTTGGCATTTGGCATGTGTCCACATTACTGAAAGGGGCAGGAGCTGCGGCAGTGGGAGGAGCAGAGAGTCTGGCTAAGGCTGAAGGTATGTAGCTGTGAGAACAGCTCATGGACCACCGAAGGTGGGGTTAAGGTAGGGAGAGATGTATGTTTGTTTATTGCTTGTTCTGGGGCTTGAACTTGGCCTGGGTGCTGTCCCTGAGCTTTTGCACTCAAAGCTGGCACTCTGCCACCTGAGTCACAGCTCCACGACCAGCTTTTCTAGTGGTTAATTAGAGATAAGTCTTACGGACTTTCCTGCCCAGGCTGGCTTCAAACCATGATCCTCAGCTCTCACCCTCCTGAGTAGCAAGGGTTACAGGTGTGAGCCACCAGTGCCTGGCTGTGATGTTTGTTGTTTTCCACTGTTGGGAAAGGGCGACTGAGGGACTGATGCAGAAGCAGGAAGGCTAACCGGGGGCCGTGACAGGAAAGGGCCATCTGTAAGTGCATGGGAATTGCCAGGGAGATTGCCCAAGTGGAGAGATACTGTCTCCAGCTGGGGGCCTCTCAGCTTCTTGGCCTTGTGGTTTGATATCTTTTTATTAGTTTTGCAGAGTTGTTTTTTATGTCTCTGTTGTCTTCTCTGCTGGTATTTCTTCTCTGTCTCTGTCTCTCATCCTTCTGTGATTCAGTGACACATGTGTTAGTTTGATATCACCCTACACAGTTCTCTCTTCAGTGATCTCTCTTCCTCTGTGCTGCAGTCTGGATAGCGTCTCAGTGCAGTCCCTCCCTGGGGTGTGTCACGGTCACAGCTCCCGCTTGCCTCTGTCTTCCGCAGACCCTTCTCCTCCTCCTCCCAGGCAAGGGGACCTGAGAGTTTGTGCTTCTTACTAGGGTTTTCCTCTTTCCCCTTAGCTGGAAGGGATTCTTGCTCTGCTCCCAGCTAGGGTTATTGCTCTTCTTCGTTATGCCTCTTACATTGTATGGACCTTTGTGGGCTGCTCAAAATCCCTTTGAAATAAGTAAACAAGTCCATGAAAAATACCGTATGCTTGTAAGACACTAGGGAGAAGTAGGGGCCTCTGGAGAACACAATTAAGGGCCCCATCTTCATAGTGGTGCCGGTAACACTGTGACCCTAGACACCATGCCCCAGATGTGAAGCAGTGCCCCATGCCTCAGTGCCCTGAAACATGGTGCCAGTGACTTAGTACCAGTGCCGCAGTGTGTGCCATGCCACAGTGCCCCGAGAGAGCTGAATGCTGCCTGGGACATGTTGATCAAGAAACAGATCTTCATGGTCACTGGGACTCGCTGCTGCTCCTCAGCTCCTAGACAACAAAGGGACCAAAGGATTACAAGGAAGAAGACGTCCACACCCACTGGCTGACCTGGAGAGGCCTCTGCTTAGCTCCCTCTGTGGGAATGGACATGTGTGGGGAAGGCCCCAGGCCACAGCCCAGTGCAGCACAGGCCGGTTGTGTGTGGGTTCTCACCCAGCCCTGCCTGCCCAGCAGAGCGCCAGGCCCACAGCCCTCTGAGGCTCATTACCTGTGTCACACAAAGCAGGGACAATGGAAAGTGACATGTTCCATAAAAGTGAGGGGACTTGAAAAGCCATCCTTTTAACACCTGAGACTTACAGAAACAAGCTGGGGACAAATGCCGGATAAAAGGATCTAGAAGCCACATGGAGGGGTACATCTAGCTTGAGATGAAAGAAGGATTAATCTTTAGCTTCATTTAAATTTCAATGGAGATCAGGCTATAATCCTTTTGAAGATTCTTGTAAATTTTCACCTTTTACTCTGTTTGCCAATGAAACCTGAGCAAGGAACTATGATAAGGAAAGACGCTTCCTAGAGGAAATGGCAGGAAATTGTGTGTGTGTGTGTGTATGTGCGCGCACGTGTGCATGTGTCCATGTGCATGCACGTACATGCTGATCCTGGGGCCTAAACTCAGGGCTTGGGTGATGTCCCTAAGCTTTTTGCTCAAGGCTACCACTGAACTACTTGAGCCACAGCTCCATTTCTGACCTTTTGGTAGTTTGTTAGAGGTAAGAGTCTCATGGCTGCCCAGGCTGGCTTTGAACCATGGTCCTCTGATCTCAGCTAGGTTTTCAGGCATGAGCCACTGGTGCCTGGCAAGAGAGGGATTTAAAAGACTGGTGCAGAAGTGAATTGTGGATGGGTTGTTAGCACTGGTTATTTAAATGGACAAATGGGCTCATCTCTCTGCTCATGCCCAGGGAATCAAGAGCAGCACCAAAGCACAGACAATTGGTATTCAACATGTATGGAACCTTACCACAGATGAGCACAGGTGGAGGAGAGAGCTGGGTGGTAGTTCAGGCTTCAACAGATTGGAGGGACTCACACAGAAGCAAAGAAAGAGCCATCCAGACAAAAACTGACTGCTCCCCCACCCCATTTGGGCATCAAGGTGGAGCTGGCCTGAACCGAGCAAGGCCTAGGTCATAGGACGGCAAGGCCTGCCTGTTCTACTCAGTACATGACCTCTGTATTGTATGGTCACCATCCTGGTGGGCCCAGGCTCCGTACATTGGCAAGATCACAATCCTGGCCCAGGATTCTGCATACCAGACACCCCACCCACTCTTGAGCCTGTTGAGCTATGACCCAAGGTACTCTGGCCTTTCTCCATGAAAGTATGAGTTGGTGTGCTCAGTGTTTCTTTTCTGCCTATAGGGTACTCCTAGGGCCTCCAGGGCGCTTGCCCACACTGGAGGCAGCTTGAGAAGTAAAATCCTCGCTGACACCATAAGCAGAGCCTGCAGGAAGGAAGCGGGGAAACCCCAGCTTTCTGGTCCAGTTTTGGTCTGTCCTTATTCTACTAAAAATGCAGTTTCTGCCTGGTGATTGTGGCTCACACCTGTAATCCTGGCTACCCAAGAGATCTGAGGATTTGAGGGTCTGAGATCTGAGGACTGCAGTTCAAAGTCAGCCCAGGCAGGAAAGTCCATGAGACCCACAGAAAACGGGAAGTGGCGCTGTGGCTCCAAGTGGTAGAGCACTAGCCTTGAGCAAAAGGGCTCAGGGACAGGGCCCAGGCTCCGAGTTCAAGCCTCAGGACTGGCAAAAAAATAGGTAAATAGAAGAATGCAGTTTTTGTTAAAGATCGAGGCCATCGTGTGTTCTGTGGCCAGGCTCTGAAGATAGGTCTGGTTGTGCGAGGGATCTGGTAGAACTCGGGATGCTACCTGAGGCCTGAGCTCCGCTTGCCTCTCCTGAGAGCAGCGGCCGGCCCAGCCTCAGAGCCACCTCTGGGCTCCACTGGCCACACTGCATCCTGCAGGACAAGGAGTCCCTGGTGGAGGGACTCGCTGAACAGGTGCTGTCCCCAGACCCCAGTCCATCTGCCATCTGTCACGTGGGAGGGACCCTCAGCTCAAAGTGGAATATAACTGCACTACTCCTCAATCTGAACTGAGGAGGGACAAGCCTGCACAGGAGAGGGCTGCATCCGGCCAGGGCTCCTTGCCCTCTTGTCCAGGGCCCTGGGAACAGATCGGCGGAGCATTCCTCCCCTGTGCACACCCTGGGGTCACAGGTCACTGAGCCCTGCCAGAAAGCAGGTGTATGCTAGGGTATCAAGTAGAGGGTCTGCCCATAGATGAGCTTCCTGCCGACCTGCACACGGCGCCCCCCTCTTCACTCCCCCCAGCGCCGCCGCCGCCCTCAGCAGCGTGCCATGTCTCCTCCAGGCCCAGCTGTCTCAGGCCCTCAATGGCGTTTCCGACAAGGCCAAGGAAGCAAAGGAGTTCCTGGTGCAGCTCAAGAACATGCTGCAGCAGATCCAGGTAAGCCTGGCGTTGGGGCATTTGGAGGGGCAGTGTGTCAGGTACCAGGTATACACGGGGGAGGGGCAGTGTGTCAGGCACCAGGTTGCAGGGGGGAGGGGCAGTGTGCCAGACACCAGGTGTGCACGGGAGAGGGGCAGTGTGCCAGGTACCAGGTGTGCAGGGGGGAGGGCAGTGTGCCAGCCACCAGGTATGCACAGGGAGGGGCAGTGTGCCAGTTATCAGTTGTGCAGGGGGGACGGGCAGTGTGCCAGTCATGAGGTATGCAGGGGGAGGAGCAGTGTGCCAGTCATGAGGTATGCAGGAGGAGGAGCAGTGTGCCAGGCACCAGGTGTGCAGGAGAAGGGGCAGTGTGTCAGGTACCAGGTGTGCAAGGGAAGGGGCAGTGTGTCAGGCACCAGGTGTGCAGGGGGAGGGGCAGTGTGCCAGGCACCAGGTGTGCACGGGGGAGGGGCAGTGTGCCAGGCACCAGGTGTGCACGGGAGAGGGGCAGTGTGCCAGGTACCAAGTGTGCAGGGGGGAGGGCAGTGTGCCAAGCACCAGGTATGCACGGGGAGGGGCAGTGTGCCAGGCATCAGGTATGCATGGGGGAGGGGCAGTGTGCCAGTTATCAGTTGTGCAGGGGGGACGGGCAGTGTGCCAGTTATGAGGTATGCAGGGGGAGGAGCAGTGTGCCAGGCACCAGGTGTGCAGCAGGAAGAAGGTCTATCAGTGCTGAACAGGAGAAAGTTGTCAGTTCTACTGTGTGGCCTTGGAAGCTGAAGGTACGGCTCATTGTGACACACACACACACACACACATACACACACACACACACACATGGATGCTCGGTGGGGAAGGGAAGTTCCGTGATGCCAGTGATAATCATGCAGCTAGAGGCTGTGCAGTCCTGTGTAGTGGTGTACCCAAACATGCCCAAGGAACGAGTGTTACCTTAAGTTAAAACAAATGAGTGTGCCAGGCTCCCAGGCCCTGACAAGTGTATGCAGCACAGCGTCTGTGCGGTGATCTGTGTCCCCCAGGCAGAGCTGCTGCCCTGTGGGGGACAAGCTCTGAGTGCCCCGGTACCTGGATGGAGAGACTGAAGACATCCTCCATTTTTTTTTTTTTTTTTGGTCTCTGGGTTCAAATCCAGGGCTGTGTACTAGCTAGGCAGGTGCTCTACCACTCAAGCCACCTTTTGCTCTGGTTGTT